CAGAGGTAGAGCGGCAGGTCCCGATAGGCTTACCCCTGAGATGTTTAAGGATGGTGGTCCAGTTTTAACGGTTAGACTGACCGAGATCCTAGGTAGAATCTGGGAAATGGACGTAATCCCATCTGACTGGTCTCAGTCGCTAATTGTCCCAATCTACAAGAAAGGACAGAAGTCCTCTTGTGACAATCACAGGGGAATAAGTTTAACTAATATAGTTTCTAAATTGTTAGCCTCGATTATACTTAGACGTCTAACTAGAGCTCGTGAAGAGCAGACTCGAGAAAACCAGGCTGGTTTTCGACCTGGACGTGGTTGTATAGACCACATCTTCACACTACGACAGGTCCTGGAACACAGACACACATTTAGACGTCCGACAATAGTCGTGTTCCTGGACCTTAAGGCGGCATTCGACTCAGTGGATCGTGAGGTTCTGTGGCAGTGTCTGTCATTGAAAGGTGTACCAAAGAAGTACATTAACCTTATACAAGCACTCTACTCGAACACCACTGGTCGGGTGAGAGCATATGGCGAACTGTCATCTGAATTCTCTACATCAAGTGGTGTCCGTCAGGGCTGTCCACTCTCTCCATTCTTGTTCAACTTTGTCGTAGACATCCTCTTAGAGTTAACATTAAGCTCGTCAGATTTTTCAGGGGTTGACCTTCTACCAGGAAAGTCGCTTACTGATCTAGAATATGCCGATGACATAGTTCTATTCGGTGAAGACGCTGACAAAATGCAAAGTCTTCTGACTACCATAAGCAACAATGCGAGCATGTTCGGGATGCGGTTTTCCCCCTCCAAATGCAAAATGTTGCTTCAAGACTGGGTTGCATTGGCGCCTGAACTAGTGATAGGGAGTGAAGTAGTCGATCGTGTAGAACGCTTCACTTATCTGGGGAGTCTCATCAGTGCTGACGGTCTGGTGACTGACGAAATCTCAGCTCGGATACAGAAAGCTCGATTGGCTTTTGCCAACCTGCGTCACTTATGGCGTAGGCGAGATATCCGTTCGCTAACCAAAGGGCGGGTGTACTGCGCAACAGTTCGTTCCGTTCTCTTATATGGCTGTGAAACATGGCCGTTAAGAGTAGAAGATGTTTGTAGGTTACTAGTATTCGATCATAGATGTTTAAGAAGCATTGCTCGTATATCGTGGGACAGCCGAGTAAACAATGCTGTCGTTAGGAAACGAGTACTAGGTAAGGATGGCAGATCAATAGATGAAGTGGTGAAACTTCATCAGTTGAGGTGGTTGGGACATGTGTTACGTATGCCTAACCACCGACTGCCTCGACGAGCTATGTTTTGTGGTGTAGGAGTAGGTTGGAAGAAAGTTAGGGGCGGCCAGACCAAAACATGGCAGAAATCCATGAAGTCACTGACAAGTGGACTGAGTCATGTTGGTAGATGTAGACTACCTGGTTGGGGTCCGCGAGACGAAAGTCATCAATGGTTAGAGACCTTGAACGACATGGCTCAAAATCGTTTGCAATGGCGCAGGTGCATCCACTCTTTGAGCTCTCTCAAATCCTAATCTTCTGGATTAGCCAGCACCTCTACCTTTGTCTTTCTAAACTTATCTCACTGAATTATATTTTTTGAATAATATCTTAAACCCTAGTCTTCTTTATTATAACATTAATACCTCTACCATCTTTATCACTATGGGATTTGATTTGACATTTGCGTCTCTGTGCTAATAATGTGGTATGGCAACATGAACTTATGTACATACGTACGAAGCTCTACATTGCAACTGACTGACTGACTGAGGACCTGCAGGAGCGTGTGTTCCAGCCAGTATAGCTCGGTTGGGTCATCACGATAGGCAAGCCCGACCACCACGTCAAGGTAGCAGCTTCGGTCGGGAGTCATTGGCCATGTTCTAGATGCACTAAACAGAATGTCTAAGTTAGCTTATAATGTACATGCTTCTGCATCCCTCGTTGTTTCACGTCAATCTTTTACATCAGCATAAAGTAAATTCTGCAACCCAATGAAATTCTCCTACGTATGGTAAAAAACTAAGAGACTTTAAGCAGAGTCCCCAACCGTAGCTGTTATCCTGACGTGGTGGTCGGACTTGCCTATCGTGATGGCCCAACCGAGCTATATTGGCTGGGACATATGTTCGTGTAGGTTCTACCACGCCAGCCAAATAGGTAGATTGGAGAACGATAAGACTAAAAGCAACTACTTAAGGTCTGAGGGCGACCTACTGCTGACTGTAGAGAGGTGTGACAGCAGCAAAGTATTTCCCTCGGACAAATAGCATCTGCAGCATTACTGCCTTCTTACATGGAAGGAAGGGACTAGGAAAGATCGATCCCAAAAGTGTCACCTCACCTTACCTCATGAATTTCCGTCTCCGGTGGTAAGGGTGCCCACTAAGGGATTTTAAGAGCGGAGCTAATACTCAGAAAACCTTTAATAAAAAGGCTGTGTGACCGGCCTCGAGCAGTTGTCTGTTGGGCTCTGCGGTCACGCTTCCAGGTCTCTGAGATTAACACTAATCAAACTTCTATTTGGGGTTCCTCAAGAAATATCCCTCCACGGTGTGGGCAGTCGTAAAGTGACGTCCGCTCTCATACCTCTAACAGCACACGAGACCAAATTGGTCACGATCAAAGCCTTCCTACACCCCTTAACATCTCTCTTATTTACCCTTTTCACCTCCCTTCAACACCCTTTTATGCTAATGCAAACAATGCGAGTTCATGAAACGTTATTTCTCCTGTTATCCTCTTTTGAACCTAATATCGGAACTTTTAGTGTCCGGACATTGTGTCCAATAGGACAACAAGCTTCCTTACAAGTACTTTAGAATCTCGCGCCACCGATGTATGCTGCGATGTAGCGTCATTCATTTGACCTCACCGTATAAAATAAAGAACCAGATCGATACACTCTTCGTGTTTCTGGAAGCCCTGCTGCTGCTCCCCTTGGCCTCTCTGGTGTAGCTATAGTATTAATTCGTAGTGCTGAACTAGTTCTCTTTGACTGGCTCCCAGTGGATAGTCGCTTGTGCGCTGTCCGACTATATGGGACAGTAAGGACTCGGAAAGATAGGGACACTCTCCGTTACCTCTTTGTTGTCTCTGCATACTCTCCCATTGACTGCAGCTGAGATGAGACGTAATATGAGTTTTACCGAATCCTTGCTAACTATCAAAATATAAAGCGCTCTGATATAGTAATATTGGCTGTTGACTTCAATGTTCAAGTAGGTAGACGAGGCGAGACTGAAAACCACCTGGGCTGATCTTATGATGTCCTGGCCCAAACATCAGATAATGACGACCTTCTGCTGAAGCAATGCTCAGATAATCGCCTATTTCCAGCAACTGAACTAGTGTTAGGGAGTGAAGCAGTTGAGCATGTTGACCGTTTTATTAATCTCGGGAGTCTCATCAGTGTTGATGGTCTGGTGACTGACGAAATCTCAACACGGATACAGAAAGCTCGGTTGGCTTTTGCCAACTTGCTTCACTTATGGTGTAGGCAAGATATCCGCCTGCCAATCAAAGGACAAGTCTGCTAAGAGACGGGATTCTTCACCACCTTCCTCTCTTTACGTTTATTTAACTAGATTATAGTTACTACTACTTACGCCTGTTACCCCCGATGGAGCACAGGCCGCCCACCAGTTTTCTCAAACCAACTCTGTCCTGGGCTCCCCTTTCCAGTTCTGTCCAATGTTTGTTCATTCTTCTCATATCTTTCTCCATTTCTCGGCGTAATGTGTTCCTTGGCCTTACTCTTTTCCTTTTGCCTTGAGGGTTCCATGTGAGGGCTTGTCTCGTGACGCAGTTAGGTGCTTTTCGTAGTGTGTGTCCTATCCACTTCCACCGCTTCTTCCTGATTTCCTCCTTCACTGGAATCTGGTTTGTTACCTCCCACAATATGTTGTTGCTGATAGTGTCCGGCCAACGAATCCGAAGTATTCTGCGTAGACGACTGTTAATAAACACTTGTATCTTCTGGATGATGGCTTTTGTAGTTCTCCATATATATATATATATATATATATATATATAATTACTTTTATGGTCGTATTTTTTGTTCTTATTTATCCTCGATTTAGTTGGTAGCTGTACTGAGAGTTTACAAGAGCGATAATTTTTCCAGTCACCTGTGCTATTATTTATCACCGACCCAGAAGTTGGATCCACTTCTAACAACAGTAAGTTCTCATTTGTATACCTCTTAAGAAGCGTAATCATATTCCATTTGGTTCTTATTCAAGCTGATTGTTTTCAAAATCTTTGATTATCAGCCTGCACATAAAATATCGTAATAAGTGGGTGCTTTATCACAATCCGCAGTCTCATATAAAGAAATTAATGGCAGCATAAATACTTACAACTGTTATCCCTAATGGAGCATAGGCTACCAACCAGCATTCTCTAACCTACTCTGTCCTGCTCCTTCTTTTCATGTCTGCTCCCGATTATCTGCGTAACATGTTCTTCAGGGATGTCCATTTTCTCCATTCTTGTTTAATTTTATCATAGACCTGCTATCTTTAATTAGTTTAGATTGTTCACGCTTAATAATGTAACTGAATGTAGTTTTTCTCATAAATGTTTCTTACTTTTCATGTTTAATGAAGCTGAAAGATTGTTTACTTGTAATATTGGACTGCGAATTCAGAGCTTTGCCGAACTAGTAGTGTAACAAAGAAGCCACTGCATTATTGTTTCCCAACATTAGCTGCAGTTAGTGCATTCCATACTTTGAATAATGCTTCAGAAACATACAGTTCAATGTAGTGGTATTTAATACTATATGTGGTATAGTGACTCAAGGATCTAAACGTTTGGCTTTAAAACTGTTTGGGTTTCATTAGTCAATTGTTATTCCTAGTCTCTATGCGATTTACATGTTTCCTTCGTAACTTTTGTATTTCTATCATTGTTTTAATAAGGTATTTTTGCATAAACGTTGAGTTATTCCTGACTGGTTTTTTTTCTGTAAATTGTATTATTTTTTATCCCTAAATATCACTTATTAGTTACTTAACCCACGACGTTTCGTTTCTCTCTGAATAGCTTAATTTGTTCTACTGTTATATTTGTTTAGTTCCCGTTTTATATTCCAGTGTTGAAGTATCTGTCGATAGACTGTTGTATATTTTCACACTAAGTTTTGATTAGTGATCTAGCTTATTTTTAACCACCATGTACTTTTTGTAACATTGGTGTGTGTATTATGCATTTTTGAATCATCAAATAAGCTAAAAACACAAAGTTGTATTGCTTAGTCCGTTACGAACTAAAAATTTGTACTTGGACATTTTTTTCTCTCAATTTTCGTTCTCTGAGCTGGATGCTTTGGTTGTTCTCCTGAACAACATCTTCAGGACAAACTTCAGGTGATGATTTTGTTCAGAAGAATAATGAAAGCTCTACAACCAAAACATCCATCAGAGAGAACGAGACTCCACAATAATCCTCTTTTCCTATGAAACTTCGTTATTACATTTCTTATGGATTTCGATCATTCCATGTAGTATTTTTCAATTGTAAACTTACACAGTTTTTATGTTTCAAATTTGAACCTACAGATAATCATACAACTAACAGTGGATCATTTAATATTCTGTTACATTGAATGGTTACGAAAATTAATGTTAATAATGAGGAATTCTGAGTTTTCCAAGCTTCCCTATATGAATAATCTACATTTCTTTCTACTCATCGTGTGCCGTTAGATTGTTTACTCTATTTATTCTGTATCATACACGTTTTTTGTATATTACATAACGGAAATTATCAGAATACGATAGAATAAAATACTGAAATCCAAAGGATCTCAATTGATTGGAGCCTAGACTTCCACATAATGTAAACACGATCGAATCATCTATTCAACGTCCATTCAATGCTTCATGACTAAAATGTAACCCACTAATTGCATAAGGGTTTCTAAACTAAACATCGTATCGCGACCAATGCAACTATCTAAAAGTCTAAGTTTTGGTAGTGAGAACTGAGTTCCACTCTATGTCATACAATTTTTAAATGTTGCCTTTAGTGAAGAAGATGGGCAGAGGAGATTCGAAAACATCCAAATTCACAGTTGGAAAATGAGTCACCGTTTTAATGCCGTCTTAAACCCAATAAGCTACAAAAAACTTAACCTGGAGTTAATAATATTTGAATTCAGTTGTTATTTCTGGTTCATGAAAGAGGCATAGAGTTTTATTCTGTTTAAGATTATTAAACCGAGATCTTACTCGTAAATTTTATTGAATACATTCAATAAAAATAAGTCAGATTTTGTAGGAAGGATTTGATTTTAACCAATTTGGTCTCGTGTGCTGGTACGGGTTTGAGGGCGGTTGTCACTTCCCGGCTGCCCACACCGTGGAAGGTTGTTTCTTGAGGGACCTGAAAAGGAAGATAGATTAGTGTTGGTCTTAGAGACCTGGCAGCGTGACCGCAGAGCCCAAGTGACAACTGCTTGACAGATGGCTATCCCAATAAAAATAATGTTTAATTTAACTGATGTAATTTCTTTACAGGAAAAAATGAAACTGGTCAATTTGATATCATCTATCAATAATCATGCTAATATTACATCATCATCACTGGCTATCTCCGTTAAGTGGAATGATTTCAATGATGCAGAAATACTATCAATAAATCCAAAGCTTTTAATTATTGTCTATGATGGTCAATTAATTCCAAAACTAAAATTAATATTGGCATCACATAAGTTGGAAGTATTCAACAGGTCTTTGGTCTTTTTGGATAACGATCAATTTAATGATATCATTAATGTAAGTGTATGTTTATTTAGTCCTATGGACTTGTATGATTTACCTCTATTTTTTTACATTGATTTAATTTCTATCTCAGTCATACTTTTCATCAATATCATCACAATTGTTCTCATGAATCGGTTTCTCTACCAAATGAATCCATGACTAATGCTTTATAAATTGTTGTCGTTGTCTGTAATCAATGCATGGATCATGTAGCAGATGTTAATTCTTCACTTTCAAACAGCTAAGAGTGTTATGTTTGTAATATTTTTTTAGAAATTATAGGAATTAACTATCTAGTTGATTGTATATTCCTATGATAACTTACTCGTTATATAGAGTGTGTTTTCAATTTGTTTTCTACTTTACAGTTCAGTTTAGTTTTATATGGAATATTGGATAAATAATTACTTGATCATCTTATACTTTTTTTCCTTCAGTCACATGGAGTTGTACTTTAACATTCTAAACGCTCGATGTATAAGTGCTATTCTATAGCTTTATACCCACATTATGTATTTTATTTAGATAGACTAGTAATCAGCCAGTCAGTTAGCTGCAACGTAGAACTTCATGCATGCCTGCATCAGTCCAAATTGCTATGCCACATTAGCTCAGAGAGCTTGAATGGTCTATTCAAATCCATAAGTAGTAGAGGTAGTCAAAGTATTAACGGTAATAAAAAAGGTTAAGGTTCTAAGAATTAATTCAAGAAGTATGATTCAATGAAATGAATGTAAAAAGAGAAAAAACAGTCATGAATAGTCCAGAAGATTCTAAATTAATAGAAGACAAAGAATGGATGCAATAGACTGGTACCATTAAGTGGTTAATAGAGAAGTAGTATTTATGGACCTTGCAAATTTCATTTTATCGAAGAAATTGCAGGCATTGTATTTTGTTATGCTACTCGTCAGGTTGTATGTTCATTTCTATAACATGCATCAAAGGAGTATATTGACCCATATCCCTTACCGTAGCTGCTATCTTGATGTGGTGGTCGGGCTTGCCTGTCGTGATGATCCAACCGAGCTATACTGGCTAGAACATATGTTCCTGTAATGTAACAAGGTTATCAACTTCTTTATTTTCAGGCTTTGTTTGTCACTATTGTAACTACTTCTGGTTACGTTAATTCTAAATGAATGATTATATGAATTGATTACTATATCCGTAGCATTCATTTTAACTATGTTCGGTTGTTCATTAATTTTTAGGGAGAGCTTTCTCGTCAACAGCATACGAATGAAACTTTAGTTTCCGTTTTCCCATTTATTTCCAACACTTTGGCGTACAAATCTCTAATTTTTATTTTGTTGTACGGATTTGCTATAACAAGCATCTTATTGGGTGCATGGATGATTATTGCCAGTCGTGAAGATCTGTAAGTGAAATTTCGTTGTCATGTGCATAATAATTAAACTTGTATTTATACATACAATTTTTTAGTGGTTCTGTATTCCTTAAGCTAGATGGCTTTTTCTGTCGTTCTGCATCATATCACAATTTTCAATAAAATTAAGGACTAACACACTCATTTTTACATAGATAATAACATGACTACACTTGTAGCATAACCAAAGTTAACGTATGAGCTCAATAATGAGTGATATTCCTTCACTGAATTTTCAACAGTAACTGATACGGACGATCTATCGGTTTATGGAATTTCCATGTATGTGAAAATGTATGAAAATGACCATAAATTTCTACATATTGTGAAAGCTAATCTTGTTAACTCACTTCGTCTATGAGATAAGCTTAGGTGAATTATCATATTTGATTTGTGTATACACGTTTCAAAAACACAGCAATCAGAACAAGGAACAGTAACATTTTATTCGAAAGATTTTCGTTTGGCTTTGTGAGCAAACAAACTAACAAAAAGTAAATCCAGTTAGACACACAACCATATAGAATGTGGTATTGATTCATTAACTTTTCTCCAGTGAAGCGAATAATATTGTTTTTAATTACATTGTCTTACGGTTTTACTCAAATAAACATGAAAATTTAAATGAAAATATTAAATCAACCAAAACTTTAAAAGTCTATTTATCTTGGTAATAACTTTATATTGTTATTCTGTATGATATATAATTAATCTACCTCTCACTAATGTTGCTGATATTTTAGTCTGATCATTATCACTTCAACCACTGGGTCATAAGTCTATATCTATAACATTGCTTTTATGATAACGATAATTTCAGAATTCATACAATATAACAATAGTTTGTAAATTTGTATTGAAGTTGTCTTATTTTGTCTTAGATATATCATTCATTCTCTTTCCATTCTTCGTCCTAAAAATTTGTTGCTGTTTACAATTGGTCGGTGACTGAGTGGTGACCAATGTCATGTGTCAAGTCCTTCTTAGTGCTGATCGAATTCTGTCAATAAACTTGTAATGTAGCTCCTAATCTAGGTGACTTGACATCACGTGATCTATTAGTGAAATGTCGACCAACTCCAACTACCACTTTAAATCGTAACATAGTGCACGCGGTCTCGAGCCACCACCTAGGTTAGTGGCCACATTATGACTTGATTGATAGAATTAGATCACGAAACCTAGACCCAGGGTTCTCTATTTACTATATCCAACGATCACCTTATCTCTTCGCTGTATAATTTCGGTTGATCTGGATGAACAGAGAGAAAAACTACGGAATAGCTGAACTTGAAAGCTCACTTGTACATAGTGAAGCTGACGATTGATTATTTTAAACACTAAAACCATAACATTGTCGAGTTCAATGTTATTTGTATGGTGTTAATTAAATGTTGCATCACAATTTCACTATCTGTGCTATGTTTAAACGGTAATTGGAAGAGTGCTTTTAATTGTTTCATTTTCATTCTTGTTTCACTCTTATACTTTGTTAAGAAATTCGACGGAAATTCATTTCTATTCAGTAGATCATAAGTAGTTTTGATTCTGTTCTAGGAATTGTCTCTAAAGCAAATAATTTTAGTTATGTACACCAAGCATTAAACCAGGTATCGTTTTTACTTTAGTGGAACGAAGCTCAACGTTGAATATGGCGATCTAGTAAAGTCGAGTTCTGACAAACTCTTTTTATTCGCCCAGAAGATCTTGTTAATTTGATATCCAGAAAAGAGATGCTATTGTTGCCCTCGTTTTTCATTATAAAAATAACTGGTTGATCAGCACGGTTAAACTTCTTCAGTAAGTTCTATTCTTAATCCCTTTCTTTACTGCCTATGGACACATTATCCACTTAGCCATAATAAAACTCTATTGCTCTCGTAACATTGCTTTAATAAGGATTCGTTAATGTCATTAGAGATAAACCTGTTATAATAATATTTAATTGTTATTGCACTAAAAAGCTGTCACTATCCATAAAATCTTTTGTTTAACATGATGTTGTATATTCATCGAACATCTTTTTCAAGGAGAACATAAAGATGTTCTTTAAGTTTTCAATTAATTTCATATGAATTCAACTACTTCTATCAACAAAAATTTCATGAATTAAGACGACACTATAATATAAATTTTACACTCAAATTTTAAATTCTATCGTTAACGTTGAAACTATCCTTCATATTAAGCCTCTCAACATCTTGGTGTAGTAGTATCAGAAGTTCCTGTAAACATTTTGCTGCAGTTGAATAGTAAGACGGAAGTCTGCAATATTCAGGGGTGAACAGGTGGTAAACCACTTTGATTAATTTTTGGTAAACTATTTGATTCATACTGATTTTTGTCCAATAGGTAAACATTTGTTAGTGTAGAACTATAATGGTTTGACAATTGAAAGCTTCTAGTATTTCTCAGGAAGATATTAAACAAGACCTTGAATTATTGTGGCAAGAATTTCACCTTTCTTTTGTCTACTTTCTGCTGTAGCTGACCTAATGTATCATATTATTACTGACGTTATTTCGAGTAAAAGTCTGGTTGCAAGATTCATTGTCTCATTCCAAAGCCATATTCATTAGATGGAATGCAATCGATAGTTTTCGTTTGGTTGGTTTTTAAAACCAAACATTTATAATATAAGGCATGATAGTTAAATGTTATTGCAATTCAGTGATCAAGTACAAAAGTGCTTTTGTTAAGCAGTACTTGGTTATAAATATTATTGTTCTGTTCATAAAAAATTAGATGCCATAAGCTTTAAATATTAATGTAATCCGTTTAGTTCAAGGTCGTATGCTTAAATCCTTAGACTACCTCACATAATAATAATGTGGCAGTTTCCTTAGTAGTCTTATCAAAAAGTCATGGGTACTCTAGCAAGTGTATATAGATATATATACTACTACCAGTCAACTCGATTGAATTGACCATTTTTCTTTACAATTACAAATACTTGAGCGAAAATGCTGATAAAATGTCCGATTGATATAATTTTACATCGGATAAAGTAATATTTATCGACTTTTAAAATACAACTTAATACTGAATAAATAATCTGTTTACATCAATTCCTCATTGTTTAATCCTTAATGCTAACTCTAATTAATTTATATTTATGGCCATCCGTTTAAAATGACATGATACTGAATGCATTTATTTGGTAGGTGGTAGTCCACCTGAATCCTCTATCCATGATATGATGCTGATTATTTAAAAGTGAGAATCAAAAACCTCCTACTGTTGTTACGCTATACAAATTCTATGAATGACTAAAAATTATGAAATATTGATTGCAGAACTACACACGAGACATAAATCTTATAAAGCCATATAATTTAGTTAGACAACTAACAGCATAAACACATTGCTAGGTTTTTCAAAAGTGTTTACCAAATTTATTTATTTCAATCTCATTCTACTGGGTTTTTTTATTAACGTTGACAATGCGGTTAATAGTGTTCTTCAATCTTGGCTATTATCATTTTTACATTTATCATTTTTGCATTTTCTTATCGTCTCAGTTCTAATGATTATTAAAGTATTGCGGTTAAACTGAAATCTAAAACTTAGCCAGCTTAGTATTATTTCAACAATCAAATTATTTCAGCTATCGATCATGGTGACTTTATATATGTGGGTCCCGATCTATTCCATGTCACTCGTAAATAAAAGCCAAAGGTATCGACCATTCATTCATTCATTCAGCTACAATGTAGAACTTCATACACACATACATCAGTTCAAGTTGCCATACCACATAAGCACACGGAGGTCGAATTGCCAATTCGAATGAAGACATTGATCAGTATTGTTTAAAACATGAGTATTTGTTGTTTGCCAATAATCTCAAATTGTTTTTTCCACTTAGAGTTATGGAGATTAGTCTTTCTACACATTGAAATCATCAATCATTGTTAGATCACCATTCAAAACTTGAAAGTACTGGATGGCCTTTTCGTCCTGGTATGAGATTGAACTCCTGTTGGGTTTAGGCAGTAACTACAAAAGACAAATGTGTGAGGTTGCGCAAAATCTCTAGATTGATCAGAGTTGGCGTTCACGAGCAAGACCGAAGGTCTCCGGTTCGAATCCTGCGAGGTGCAGGAGTCGTGGATGCGCGCTGCTGATGAATCCCATACCAGGACGAAATGGCTATCCAGTGCTTCCAGGTTTCTGATGGTGGTCTAACAATGATTGGTTGATGATATCAATGTATAAATCTCAAATTGGTCTTATCGATTATCGTGTAACTAAACATAGAAATTACCGGAAATTATGTGCAGTTTTCTCCAAGACTTTTCAAATGCTTCATTGCTTATGAATATTTTCAGTTCATTTGAGCAACATTGTCAAATATTTTTCCTAAAATTATCTTTGTTACTGATCAGCATATGATGAGTTATTTTAAGTCAATTGGATTGTAAATCATTGTATTTTTGGTGCCCTCCATGATTTCGTGCAGGTGAATCGTAAGGTGGTAAAGATAAATATTTAAATAACATATTTGTTCATCGTGTGATGCTATCTAATTCTATTGTCTCTTTCTTTTGCAGTGCTTGCTTTGGTAATTTTAATCTGACACATGTTTTGTTCTCATTTATATTATGTCCAGGTTACAAGATTTTATCAAAAATCAAACTATTCTACCAAAGTATAAATTTTCTCTATATTTAAGTATTACGGTGTGTTTGGCAGCTGCTTCTATATTCTTGTTGTTAACTTACTTTTTCTACGATGTATTTGGTAAGATTTTTTATGTACTGTGATCTTTTATGATTTTGTGATGAGATGCTGTAATGGTATACTAGGAGTTTGGAGCTGTTCAGTTTATTAAACGTATATTGCTTGCTTATCAAAATTATTTCTATTTATCAATAATTTTGAAACAATAAACTACGAAAAAATACCTAAGGATGGAATTAAAATTTGAAATTGAGGGCCAAAAAAATTAATAATGATATAATCATAATTCAGATGAATATCAACAATTCCCTCATTCATCCAATGAAGATTTAGACTTCCAAGAATAGAGATGATACTTATTTTATGGATCTTAATCAAAATGCACATCATTATCTTATTGTAAACTACTCGATCTTGTTATCAGAATAATTATATTCTATACAGTTAATGTGATTGAGCATAAATAATTTATTTCTCATCGACTACCTAAGTCAGTGAGTGTCCTTAATTGATTCGACATATTTATTTAGGTACCGTATGCCTTGTACCAACATTGCTGGATTTGATGGCAACTTCCTATCACCAGCAGATCCTCAAAGATATCGAATCTATCAGATTCACGTACATCATACACTTTTAGATTCTAATAGTAAACTAATACAAGTTGTCAGTCAGCCACAACGTAGGACTTGATACATGTGTGCATCAGTTCAAGTTGCTATACCACATTAGCACAGAGATGCAATCGTCGATTCAGATTTCATAGCAGTAGAGGTATTAGCAGTAATGGAGAAGATTAGAGTTCGAAAAAATGATTCAGGAAGTATTATCCAGTGAAATAAATGGAAAAAGAGAAAAAACAGTCATGAGGGATTCAGAAGATTAGAATTTGAGAGAAGACAATTAATGGATGCATCTACGCCATTGCAAACGACTTTGAGCCATGTCATTCAAAGTCTTAAACCATCGATTACGATTGTCTAGCGGACCTCAACCAGGTAGTCTACATCTACCAACCTGACTGAATCCACTTGTTAGCGACTTCATGGATTTGTATCATGTTTTCGTCTGGTAGTCCCTGTCTTTCTTCCAGCCTACCCTACACCACGAAAAGTAGCTCAACTAGGTTGTCGGTGGTCGTGCATACGTAGCACATATTCGTACTACCTCAATCGATGAAGATTCACTACTCCACCAACTGATCTGCCATCCCTACCTAGTACCGTTTTCCTAACATCCCGAATGCTTACTCGGTTGTCCTAGGATATACAAGCAATGCATCGAAGACACCTGTGATTGAATACTAGTAACCTACGAATAACCTCCACTTTGACTCTCCATCTTTCACACCTTCATGGTAGAACTGAGTGGATGGCAGTACAGTCGACTTGTCGCTTTTTTTAGTAGACGGATACGTCGCAAAGTTGCATATGACTCATTATGGATTACTGTTTAATCGACATATTATTTTTTTCATGAGCCACAAATGCCCTAAATTGATCATCTAATAACTCGTTGGGATTGATCAAATATGTAGAGTGGTCGCAGTGCTTAATTTCTTCACTTCTTATTGTAAATCGAGACATTGATCTGAACCAGTTTTCAAGCAGGGTTTTTCATGTAACAGATAAAAAAAGCCGCATGTAAAGAATCTTGTAACAGTGTAAACCGATTAATTGATACACGTTTAGAAGAGTATAATCTCTTAGAATTTAGAGAGTGATTAGATTGAGATTAGTGGGTGTTAAAAGACAGTTTATCTGGAATAGTAAATTTTGATGCATGCATGTTATACTCTGTTTTCACCGCATTAACCATAACTGATCAAACTGTGTACATTTGTAACGTTCAAAGATTATCTCATTTAAAATGCTATTCTTCAAAGAAGCTGTACTTGCTAAGTATTTTCTAAAGATACTATGGTTCTCATGGTTATTTCTATTTGAATGACTTTTTATATATCGATATTCTCTTGAAGAATTATTGCTCTCAGCATGGAATAACCATTTCAACATCGATTGTTTTTGTATATGCTCAACTACTCTGTAGTGTGCCGATTTACTGCGTGTTCTTAAACTCGGTTTATAAATCGGAAGACGAACTCGTATTGATGAGTACGTTTATTCGAGGCACACCACAAAGCGAAGCGGAGAAGCGAATTGGAGAATGCTAATGAGCCAACTCTTTGGATTACGATGCGAGCGAATGAGCGAAGCGAATTGGAGAAGGCTAAGAGCCAACTCAAAGAGATAGAGCATGGCTAAGAATATATAGTCAGACCAAAAATAAGACAGACATATGACTAGCGAAATAGGCATGCACACACATGAATAAAGGCGACGAATGGTTGGCAAGGTCAAAAGCAAACGATACAAATCATGTGAGTTCATGGGGAAATTAAGAGATTAATATTAAAGCGAAAAGAATGAGTAAGCGCGTAGGCGTAAACAATGCTCAGTCGTACAAGCTCATACAAACCAGATGATAAAAAATAACAATGGTACATATGAGTTGTTGCTATACAAATGGCTTGGTTAAATAAATTAATCGAAAGGGCTTAACCAAATTAAATGTAAGCGGATGCAAATAAATGTGGAGGCACTACAACTCTACTAACTGGGTTGTTAGTTCGAAAACAGATATTGATTTAAAAGATGTTACATCTTCAGCTACTGTATTATCAGTATATCCAGTACATTGTTGTTCATATTTATTTATCTTCACTTTACCTTTTATTTTATCATGAAACTGTTTTTTGTTTTCCATTACTGAATTCTCTTTCCTTTTTAGTATACATCTTAATAGCGCTGTTTGCATTGGGTGGTGCAAATGCAATTTCAAACTTCCTTACATTTTTCATCCAGCGTATTGTTCCTTCAACAACCAAAACGTACGTTTCATTTTATAATTTATTCTAATATTGATCTATTGTGTGATAGGCGTTTTCAGTCAACCTTTTTTTTTTTCTCTCTCTCTCTCTCTCTGAGAAATCTAATTTTTTCTTTAATCCATTCGATACTATTGAAATTTCACATTTCTCTATCTTTTTATTTTGTTTTTGTCAATTACTTTAACCTTTTTCGATTGTTACTTGTGGTCTTGTATGATAATTGCGTTCGCATAACAAACATTGATACTGATTAGAGAATGAATATCATCTCAGCTATAAGCATGCATATTTATTGCTTATTTGTACTTTTTCTTATTCTGCTACTGTGTTTGTCCTTTTATTTATTGATGTGTCTTATTCTAATAATAATAATAATAATAATAATAATAATAATAATAATAATAATAATAATAATAATAATAATAATAATGAAATTTTAGCTGTTTCTTTGTAACAAAATACAACAACTACACATTGAGATGTAGTAGTGATAGGCTTGTCATGATCATGTTATCGAAAAATTAATCCAAAGAGAATTATAATGTAGTTTATCTACATAAATGTGAATTATTATTATTATTTGTATTATTATTATTAAGAAATATAGAATTTCTTATAAAATAGATAGATATTCACCGATTGACCAGTTTTTCAGTGAACCATTTGTTAGCAATCAACTACAACGTGATGATGGAGAATTGAAATTTATTAATATAATGTAGAAAAAAATATATCGATTTTTGCATGGTAAATTTTTTTTTTCATGAATTCTCGATTTAATATTCACTTGATCTCAGATTTGTTTTTCATTGATTGGTTAACTAACTGGTTATACTAAACAGTTTAAGTTTGTTGCTTTGCACTTTTTAAATTTGAGTGAATTTAGTTCATTTATTTATTGTCTGAAAGAAAAAAAAAGTAGCTTACACGAAGTCACGAAATGTCAGAAAATGTTAAACTTTTCTATTCACTAAGATACTACAATATATACAAAGTTTTATTATTAACAATCTACCGTGAATGCTTCAATTATTTGAAATTATTCACTAGTCAAAGCCTTATGATCGTATTTTTTTATTGTGAATTTTTGTTTCCATTTAGTGATTTGTTAAGGTTTATGCCCAACCACCGACTGCCGTGACGAACTATGTTTTGTAGGAGAAAGCTAGGGGCGTTAAATCAAAACATGGCAGAAATCCATGAAGTCACTGACAAATGGACTGAGTCATGTTGGTAGGTGGTGCAGGCTACCTGGCCGGGGTCCACTAGACGAAAGTCACCAATGGTTTGAGATCTTGAACGACACGGCTCAAAATCGTTTGCAATGGCGCCGGTGCATTCATTCTTTGTGTTCTCTCAAATTCTATTCTTCTGAATTCCTCATCATCTCTGTCTTTCTCTTTCTAAAGTTATGTCACTGAACTATACTTCTTGAATAATATATTCGATCCCTAATCTTCTCGATTACTGCTAATTCTCCTACTATCTCCACCACTAAAGGATTTAACTGACAATGGCGTCTCTATGCTAATGCGGTATGGCAACCTGAACTGACGTACTTACGTAAGAAGTTCTACGTTGTAATTGATTGACTGACTCAATTATTGACTGTGAAGAATTTTTTTTAATTGAAGGATATATAGAGAAACAAAACAAACATTTACTTAAAAGGCTTAAGTTCATTAATTTTCTAATTTATGAGTGAAGGTAATCATTTAACAAGTGAACAATTCTCAGATTTACTATTTGTGCACATTAAATTTCAAGTAAACAAATACTTTGATGATCATGTTATTACTACTATCAAAGCTGTTATTGGTCAAATAACGTATCAAACCACAATCAGTTAGATAGATCAAAGTCCATGCATACAAAATAAGCTTTATCTTATGCCATCGACAAATAAAATTTGAATAAAATCAATAAATAGAATTTTAGCAGTTTGATTACCGGTTATCGTGTAAATGTTCAATGTGTTCAATGTACAAACTTGTTGTTGTTATAATGCTATTCTTTTCATGTCAATCATTATTATCCGAATATACTGCCTCTTGTTCTACTAAGTACATTTTAAGTGTTATCATTTGATTCAACTGATTTAAGACAAATGTTACTACTTTAACATTTACTATCTTTACAATGAAACATTATGTGACTTTACGTAGACGTTCTATCGTCAATGAAGTAACTAACAGTTTTTAATGGTGTTGGGAAGAATATCTATTCATGTAACATATTTATTGTGGAACAGAGTGTGTTAACTATGCAATGAAGTGCATTTCTCACGCTTTAGCATTTGTTCAACGTTTGACCAAATACGCTTAAATCACTGAGAACCTCACAATGCTGAGAAAAACAAAGTAGCATTGATTTATTAATTCATTTAAATGTCTGTCGCTAAATTTCTGATTGTTGGAGATTTCTTATCTAAACTACATAAATTTATAACCGGACAGTGAAGTGAACATCAAACGTCTGTTATAATGTTTATCAGATTTATGTATATCAAAACCATGTTGACGTGTCATTATTTAAACCAAGTGAAACAATAGACAACAACAGAATGAATGTTAAATATTACTTTGAATAAATGTCTCGAACAGTCGCGAGCAAATCTTGTAGTTAGCTAGGTGTACATATGATAAATTTTCGTATCAGATTCAATGTTATTATAGATTTGCGTAATACTTCATTTTATATGTACTTCCTCCCCTCTGATTTTTTGATTTAGGTTAACAATTAATGTGAACTGTTGTCAAATTACTAGTCCTAGAAAAATATATATTATTTCTGCAGCTACTTTCCCAATTGGTGTAGCCATAGCTATAACGTGGTTGGTATTTCGTAACAATGAAATGTAAGCTTTAGTTTTGTAAATCTTTTGTATATTTTTTGATTCATCATTTACACGTATGCACTTAATGACCAATTTTTCATGCATACCCTATGAGAATAAACAATTTTTTTTTCGTACAGATATTCAAGAATCTATCTGTTTTCCAGATGTCATCTAATCCATATAGTAGGCAAATAGAGAAACTATTCAGTATGTCCAATGGCGTAATGGTTGAATATTATAAAAGTCTTGAGTCACAATTGGTGAATGTTTGAAATACTTTTCTTTTCTCTTAGCTAGAAATTCTTCCTTCAGTAGTGTTTTGTGCTTGTGCGTGTGTCGATCTTAACAGATGAAGTGTGCTAATCACTTTCTCTGATGTAGTGGTCTGACCAACCTGCTTAACCTTTGGACCACTAAACCGAGATCAGGTGGTTTATATGTTTAAATCCAATTAATTCGCAATCCTTCATCTGGGTTATGAATTCACACTCCTAAAGTATCCGATGCTTTGTCGAAACAACTGTTAAGTACTTCCTACCCTTTATTGGTTACTTTATTAAAATCAGTCTGTAATGTAAAGTATAGAGACTATTATTATTTAGCTGAGCAGACTATAGACATCTTTTATCGTGTTAGTCTTAAGCCAACACTTACTATGCAGCAGTAAAATTCTGAGTTAACCATCTGAAGTTATTCTGGAACTGTCTTAACATTCATGATTTGACTCTTAATATTTTGCACGTTTTATGAAAATTTTATACAACGACAATATCGCCATTAAATGAGTAGTTTTGCTAGTTGAATATTTTGCTTTACAATGTTTCTTTTGATTGTTTAGTCATGAAATAAATTCATCTAAATTCGATTCAATTCAATAGTTATTTCATCATAGTCAATAAGGTTGTGTGTTTTGTGGGAGAACATAGAGCTGATGATCATTGGAATTACAACACAAACCTGGTGTAAAATTCATTTTTGTATCATGCAATTTCATATATTAGTTACCTTTTGAGTATAGCATGTTATTTACTTTATAATACAATCAATTTTCATCATTAAAATAAACAGTTTGAAACAATTTGAACATTACACATTTTCGAAACCATGAATCGATCAATGTTAGACCACCATTAGAAACCTGGAAGCACTGGACGGCCGTTTCGTCCTAGTACGGGACTCCTCGGCAGTGCGCATCCACGACTCCTGCGCCCCGCAGGATTCGAACCCAGGACCTTCGGTATTGTAGGCGAACGCCTAACCATCGGACCACTGAGCCGGCATCTAACGGTGTTAATGTCTAAATTAATCAATTCACGGAGTTGCGCACCCTCATACACAGTCTTCGGTAGTTACTGTCTACACTCGAACAGGTGGAACTTTACTGGTCACGTCTTCTCACTAGAACTTGGAGAAGATTCCTCACGAAGCTAGTCACTAGTGAGCACAGGTAATTTGCATTACTGGGTTGTGAAGATTGTTAAGTTACACATTTTTGAAACCATTAACACGGTTAGATGCCGGCTCAGTCGTCCGATGGTTAGGCGTTCGCCTACAATACCGAAGGTCCTGGGTTCGAATCCTGCGGGGCGCAGGAGTCGTGGATGCGCACTGCTGAGGAGTCCCATACTAGGACGAAACGGCCGTCCAGTGCTTCCAGGTTTCTAATGGTGGTCTAACGTTGATCGATTCATGGTTTCAAAAATGTGTAACTTAACAATCTTCACAACCCCGTAATGCAACCCAATATTTTGTTTTTACTAAGTTATACTTCGATACCATGACTCTCATTCACTACATTACTTGAATATTTTTGCTAGGATTGGTTGGCCTTTACAATCTATCATCGGGATGCTTCTGGTGGCAGCGTTTATTTCTTCTGTATTGATTATACCATCACTTAAGGTAATCAAGGAATATGTTTCTGATGAATTCTACTCCATTGCTTGTTTATTAAATTTATCCGTTACGTATGGTATTCGAAGTTTCTCACCTTGGACTGATTTTTTTTACAACAGCACTTGGAAACCAGAAAGTACTGGATGGCTGTTTAGTTTCATTATAGGACTTTTCAAGAATGGGGATGTACAACTCAACCAGGGATAATACGTAAAACCTTCAGATCACTGATTTTAGCATCCAGTGATCTACAGTTCTAAATTCGTTTGACTCGCGATATTGCACTGCTAACGTTTGGTGCCATTGATTGGTAACTCTTCCTTGTTCCTGACACGATTGGACTCTGTGATGTGAAACTTTAAATACAACAATCACCATAACAGCTTATGATAACACTTGATATATTCAAAGTATATTTGTATTTGTTGTAATTCGATATATTGCAATGCCTACACAATAGTCTTATGGTATCGCATGTGATATATATGTATATGTATATATATATATATATATATATATATATATATATATTGCGTTTGTGAAAAGCCAAGATGTGGAATGTGTACAGAATACATTTATTTCAACTACCTATGTATAATCAGACAAGTGTAGCGTACAACGAGCATGGAAATTGGCCTAGGAGTGACGCAACTTTTGTTGTCAAATGACAGTCGATCGTATACATAGACACGTACTTGTACACAGATGGGCAGAGTACACATGGATAAAAAAGAATAGTTAACTAGGGTTCGAGTAACATGCGTACGTATGGTTCCGTTTTTGTTAAATAAAGAATTATCAGGAGGATGAAAGATGATAGTTAGATGTATACTGTTTCGATTACTAATATCTGTCCAAAATTTAGAATATGTTCATTTAGGCGTATAAGTGCCATTTAAGTCTAAAAATGATCGTCCCTAGCAGGAGTATTTCATGATTATTTTCCGATTACCTTTTGGTAGGTTTCATTTCGCTATTGTCTGAATCCTTACTAGTCTCTTGTAAAATGCGACGATCGTTTTTGTGAGCCTCTTTGTTCAACTAAGGGTTTCGGTTAGAGTCATATTGATGAAAACTCCTTGTTTTTGCAGTGAGTTTGTGTTCTAACAGTTTAGACTGCTCTATTTCATTTAGTGTTATATTATTAAGAACGTTGGATGTAGGTTTCATGTTATTTGGCATCTATCAACATGGCATATCTACAATTTTAATGCGAATGACACTGTATGTAGAATCCATGCCTTTATCAAAATTGGAGTCATTACCACTGAAATATCAGATATAAGGCATAATCTATCAAAATGTACAAGGAGTAAATCTGTCATTTGTTTTTTTAAGAATTATTTCGTTTCTTTCAATTTGTTGTTCTATTGGCTAATATGTCTATCCTTGTTGCAGAGCAAAGCCTACTGTACTTGTTTGTGTATAAAAATGTACTTCAACTGGTAACAATGAGTTCATTTTATAAATTTGAATAATGTACTAAAAAAAAAATCAAGATTCCCAGAACTTTGTGCTATGCGTTGAGAACAATCCGATCACATGTATATATACTTTTCAACAAAATTTATGTACAATAAGTAAAATGTCAGCTGAACAAATGAATAATTATGAGAGTAAACAAAGATTAAAAAAAAGTAAATAATATGGAAGATAATGTGAAGTTCACTACGTTGTTCTCAGTTTCAGACTGAGAACAAACCGTTTTGAAAAGTACATAAGATGGTTTGAATTTTTTTATACGCAAATTTACGTAACAAGTATACGCGTGATCATATATACATAATTCTGATCATCTTCGTTTTCTTACACTTAAGTGAATAATTTTGTATTATTTCCTCGCTAGGTTGGTACACTTTTGTTAGCTGCATTTCTGATCTACGATGTATTCTTCGTATTTATTACTCCTTTATTCACAGTAAGTTTTATATCTATTTTTAAACTAATTGATACATATTTAAAAATCCCCATCATATTGAAATAATCTTATATAAAGGAAGAATATTCTTTTCATTGAATTCTTTTCAGGTTCTATGATTGTATATCTGAATAATTAGTCCAAAAAAATAAACGGTTCTAAGACAAAATTCATCGTTTAAAGTCATAGCACGTGAATTTAGGCTTTGGAAATCCAATCAAATTTCATTGAAATCACAAACTGATCAATTTTAGACTGACGTTAAAAATTCAACCGTTTCGTTCTAGTATGGGGGCTCCTCAGCAATACACATTCACGACTTGTCACATGGTAATCAAACCTAGAACTCTTGGTTTCGCGCATAGATGCTGAATGTTCAGATGACTAATATGCAATGCTAACTTGAATAAGCTTATATATTAAGTAAACTTTTAAAATCAATGCTCTAGAAATTTGCTCATAGATATCTTCAAGATTACTTGTACGTGGTGGAACCATCGAGTACACAGTATTAAGGTTAAGTGCAATGATTTATTGGAGCGGAATAAGTCAGTCAATAAGTTATCAAGCAATCTAGCTACCAGATTTCGTTCATTAGATGTTCATTTAGACTGAGTGTTTGAACTCACTTTATTCAAAATTAACTTTTGACCACCAATTCGTATGTTAAAAATTCCATACCACCTATTAAGGTTTAAATTTGTGAATATAATCTCGGTAACCTTTTTTTTTAAAAAATGGTAGTTACTGAATTACATATTCCATGTAAATTCATCTTAATAACTAGCTCAACAATAATGTAACGAAAAAAATCGAGAAATTTTTCTTGCTTCGAAGATATATTGCGATAATGTGATTATCCGACTGAAGATTTCGACTCTCTAAACTTATCTCACTGAATCATACTTCTTGAATAATATCTTCTAATCCTAACCTCTCCGATTATTTCTGATTCCCTTACTACCTCTTCTACTATTGGATTTGAATTGACGATTACTTCTCTGTGCTGATGTGGTATGGCAACATGAACTGATGTACTTATGTACAAAGTTCTACGTTGCATCTGACTGACTGACTGACTATCCGACTGAAGAGTGAAATTATACTATTACTAGATTAAATCCTTGATGAATAATCTATACACCGGTTGAATCATAATTTAAAACTAAAAATAACGAATCACAATGAAGACTAGACATGGTACTTTATTCGCCTTAATTACAATCAATTAAAACCAGTGAGTTCATGTGTGAAAATCACTGATAGAAAAGGAAGTTACATACTGAATGGTCAACAAGTTCTGTTTTAACTCTCCATGTTCAATGAATGACTAGTAATATTTGCTTTCATTCCTCACAAACCAGACAACTGAAACTTTTTAATCATGTGAATTTTTTTTTCCGTAGTCAACTGCAACCAATGTTAATTATTCTTCTGTGGCTGTTGAACTTACTCGAGTGCGACGTTCAGACGGTCACAGTTACATGGAAGCTGTAGCAAC